ACATCAAGGGCATTTTGCACACATGAGAGTTATCTACAGAATAGTTTCAAGATGTAGAATTGCTAGGTCAAAGGGTGTAACTTAAAATTGACCTGTATACATCTTGTTTTAATTTGTATTCCCATTATCCCTATATGTGAGACCGTTTCCTCACAGCCTCACAGAGAGTATTTGTCAAACTTTTGAGTTTTTTGCCAGTCTGGTAGGTGAGAAAGGATCATCTCAGTAGGGTTAAAAAATCTGTACTTTTCTTGCTTTGCTTATTTTTCCACTGGGTTGTTGACCTTTTTCTTGGGGAGGTACTCTTACCATATTAGCAAAGTTAGCTATTTGTGATAAGAGGTTCAAATGCTTTTCCCTTCCAACTGTCATTTACCCCTGGCTTTGACAGCACAGCAGGATGGATTAGAGTGCAGGCTCTGTCGCCAGGCTGTCCAGGTTGGTCAGTAGGCTGTGTGACAATGGAAATTTACCTCTCTGTGCTTCAATTTTCTCATCTGTAAAATGGGCACAGTAGTACCAACTTCATAAGTTTCCTGTGTGGATTAAATGCTTAACATATTTGAAATATTTGCAATGGTCTTCTTTGCAATGGCATAGTAAGCCCCATATTTAATACTTATTATTAATTAAATTGCTGTTAGGGTTCCTAGATTTTGTGTCGTAGTTAAATAGGCTTTAAGAAACTTTTCTTATGCCCTTCTTTGTACTGCCTATGATGACTTGTTCATTTACTTCCCTAAGTCAGCATTAAAGTCACACCTTCACAAAGTGGCAGTGGGCGTTGGAACTGTGACTGGTATATGGTGAATGTGAATGAAGAATAAATGGTTGCGATTGCTTTTATTAGCTTAGCACCAGCGGCACTTTATTTATTATAATTTTCGCTCCTCTGTCTTTCCAGGTCTTGTTTTTTAGCCCCAGAGATTTTGTTTTTGTTGTTGTTGCCCTGGGCAGAGTGCTGTTATGTCACAGTTCCCAACAACCTCAAACTCTTGGGCTCAAGTGATCCTCCTGCCTCGCCCTCTCAAGTAGCTGGGATTACAGGCACCTGCCATCACGCCTGGCTATTTTTAGAGATGGGGTCTTGCTGTTGCTCAGGCTGGTCTTGAACTCCTGAGCTTAGGCAATTTACTTTCCTCAGCCTCCCAGAGTGCTGGGATTACAGGCATGAGACACCTGGCCTGGCCTATCCCCAGAGATTTTCACAGAAAGACCTCAACAAGTGCTGATTGGCAAATGAGCAGAGAAATAAGCTCAAGACGATTTTGAGACTGCTTAGGTTAGATCATCCCTGGAAGTTCACAGAGGAGAAAACTGAGACAAGCGACTTGTCCAGGATCAGAAAGTCCGAAAGGAGGGTGGCACCTGTGGCTCAGTGGGTAGGGTGTCGGCCCCACATACTGAAGGTGGCGGATTTGAACCCAGTCCCAGCCAAACTGTAACAAAAAATAGCCGGATGTTGTAGTGGGTGCCTGTAGTCCTAGCTACTCCGGAGGCTGAGGGAAGAGAATCGCCTAAGCCCAGGAGTTGGAGGTTGCTGTGACCTGTGATGCCACGGCACTCTACTAAGGATGAAAAACTGAGATTCTGTCTCTAAAAAAAGAAAAAGTCCGAATGGAACCTAGAGCTTCTCTGTCCAAGGCTCTTTCTACCACCCTGAGATGCAGCAGCTGGGGGAGGAGGGAAACCTGTTAGTCTCCAGGCCACGTGGGCCCCAGGCTGGAGAGAGTGGTATTGGATGTCCTTTATACCAGGCATCTCTGTCAGTCACTGTGCATCAAGGTCTCCCATTCCAACTTCTTTTTTTTTGGAGACAGAATCTCACTTTGTTATCTTGGATAGAGTGCCGTGGCATCATAACTCACAACAACCTTAAACTCTTGGGCTCAAGGGATCCTTTTGTCTCAGTCTCCTGAGTAGCCAGGACTACAGGCACCCTCTGTGATGCCCAGCTAGTTTTTTTTATTTTTAGTAGAGATGAGGCATCTTGCTCTTGCTTAGGTTGGTCTCAAACTCCTGAGCTCAAGGGATTCACCCACCTTGGCCTTCCAGAGTACTAGGATTACAGGCATGAGCACTGCAACCGGCCCCATTCCAACTTCTGAAGCATCGTACATTTTCCTTGTTCATGCTAAACCCATTAAAATAGAAAAAAAGTTTATGGAATTGAATTGGATCAAATTTAATTTTTCTGGACCTTGGTTGTTCTAAGCGGGAGCAGTCATTCATTTTTTCACTTGTTCATTGAACACACGTTTGTAGAGCCTCTGCAGACGGTTTCTGGGGCCACTGTGGCTGTGAAGATTAGCAAAGTGAGACCTTCTGTACACAAAGAACTCAAAGAACTGCAGAGCAATCACCTCAGAGGTCTGTAAACACTGCAGACTCTTTAGATTGCTAGGGCTTCATAGCATGGACACCAAGCTTTAGAAAGCACAAGGTGAAGAGCTGTCTGTTTGGCTCGGGGCAGAGTTTACTAAGCATCAAAGAAGGCTGGGCACGGTGGCTCACACCTATGATCCCAGCACTCTGGGAGGCTGAGGTGGGTGGATCCTTTGAGCTCTGGATTTTGAGACCAGCCTGAGCAAGAGCAAGACTCCATCTTTACTAAAAATAGAAAAATTAGCTGGGTGTCATGGTGGGCCCCTGTAGTCTTGGCTACTTGGGAGGCTTAGACAGGAGGATGGCTTGAGCCCAGCAGTTTGAGATTGCTGTGAGCTAGGCTGAGCCATGGCGCTCTAGCCTAAGGCAACAGAGTGAGGCTCTGTCTCAAAAAAAAAAAAAATCAGAGAAGATGTGACATTTGAGCTGCTTTTTTGGGGTGAGAGGGACATGGAGACAGAGTCTCACTCTATGGCTCGGGTAGAGTTTTGTAGCATCATAGCTCACAGCAACCTTAAACTGTTGGGCTCAAGTGATCCTCTTGCTTTAGCCTTTTGAGTAGCTGGGACTATAGGTGCCTGGCTAGTTTTTCTATTCTTAGTAGAAACAGAGTCTTGCTCTTGTTCAGGCTGGTCTCAAACTCCCAAGCAATCTACCCACTTCAGCCTCCTAAAGTGCTAGAATTACAGGTGTGAACCACCATGCTCAGCCTTGAGCTGCTTTATGAAGGACAACCAGATGAGCCTAGTTTATTGTCCTTAGTGCTGTTTGTAGATCTTTCCTGACTAATGATGCCCTTTATGTGATAGGCTATGTTGGGAGCAGGTGCAAAGATTATCCAGAAGCTCAGGGTTGTGCACCTGGATGGTGTGATGACACATCCTCTAGTCAAGCTCTTGCAACCCTGGTCTCAACTTCTTCCCCAGTGTGGACTTGTACAATTTAGCAAATAAAAACATAGGATTCCAAGCCTTGTTACTGGTGATTGCTTAGAGTCTCAGCTACTAGAGAGCCTGAGGTGGGAAGATTGGTTAAAGCCAGGGGCTCAAGGCCAGCCTGGGCAACATAGTGAGGCCTTGTCTCTGAAATACGTAAAAAACAGAATTCCACGGGCGAAGCGTCTGTAGCTTAGTGGCTAGTGCGCTAGCCACATGCCCTTGGGGCTGGTGGGTTGTAATCAGGCAAGGGCTTACCTAACAACAATGACAACTACAACAACAAAAAATAGCCGGGTGTTATGGCGGGCGCCTGTAGTCCCATCTACTCGGGAGGTTGAGGCAAGAGAATCGCTTTAGCCCAAGAGTTTGAAGTTGCTGTGAGCTGTGATACCACAGCACGATACCCAGGGTGGCATAGTGAGATTCTGTCTCAAATTAAAAAAAAAAAAAAGGAAAGAAAAACTTTAGATAAATTAAGAGTTTAAGTGAACAAGAAAAGGACAAATAAAAGATTCGTGAATTCAGAACCAGGACAGGTTCAGGACAGGGGGCTGTGGCATGGTTTGATAGCATGTATGAACAGGAAAAGGAAAGTGATATACAGAAAACGGAAGTGAGTACAGAAGCCACGGGGGCTGGGCATCGGCCTGGTTTGACGAAGGTTTGAACTGCTGGCCGCCTGAGATTGGTTGAAGCACAGCAGCTGTGGTTGGCTGAGACTCAGCCGATGTTACATTCCTGGTTAGGTTTTCATTTTGTCTATGCACTAAGCTAGGTTTAGCTTGTGAGAACTCAAGTATGCTAGCACGAAGGCTGTCTCAGGCCAAGTTGAGTTTGATTGAACAATTCTCCCCTTTTGGTCAGCTTCTCAATTTTGAGAAATTGACTAAAGCTTTGGGCATTGATCCCACTTTCTGCCAGCATCACAAATGACTTATTTGGTACCGCTATGAAATTCACAAGTCATGTCTGGTCTCGTATGGAGTTCACAAGTCATGATGTCACACTAGTTGAATATTTTTTATGTTCTTGCTGATCTAGGTGAAGAGAGACCATTCAGTGCTCAGTGGAGGGCTGCATACAAAACATCTGGGACTTGAGAGGGTACAGTATATCAAGGGGGTTTTATGATGACTGTCGATCAGGTAATATTAAAAGACCAAAGTTTACTTCTTGACAAGAGTGCTTATGAAATGAACAAAACCTGGCTCGGCACCTGTGGCTCAAGTGGCTAAGGCACCAGCCACATACACCTAAGGTGGCGGGTTCAAATCCAGCCCGGGCCTGCCAGGCAACAATGATGGCTGCAACCAAAAAAAAAAAAAATAGCCAGGCGTTGTGGCGGGCACCTGTGGTCCCAGCTACTTGGGAGGCGGAGGCAGGAGACTCACTTGAGCCCAGGAGTTGGAGGTTGCTGTGAGCTGTGATGCCACAGCACTCTACCCAGGGGGACAGCTTGAGGCTCTGTCTCAAAAAAAAAAAAAAAGAAATGAATGAAACCAAATCAAATAAGGGAAAGTTCAGGCAATATAGGCATATAGGCAGTTCAACACTATTTGAGTCTAATTGGTCATAGTCTTTGTGGGTGATGATGGATGTGAGATCAAGAGAGACCACAGTTTCCTGTAAAATGGCCTGTTTTAAAGAGGTATCTGGGTTTTTTTAGGTATATAAACTAAAAATATGGAACACTTCACGAGTTTTGTGTGTCATCCCTGTGCAGGGGCCGTGCTAATCTTCTCTGTCATTCCGATTTCAGTATATGTGCTGCTGAAGCAAGCATGAGGTATCCATTTTTGTTGTTAGCCTAGTAACGCATGTCACAGTAGTCTGGAAACACACTGGAAGAAATGTAAAGATTAGAAAACTTTGGAAAATCCAAGCTCATCATCCACCATTTAGGGCACCTACAGACCAATTGTTAGTCACTTCCATAAACATGTCATACGTTTCTTTCTCTTGAGAGAGTTCATCAATGCATTTGGTGGCAGTGTCTAAGAAAATAGCAGCATCAGCCACTTTTTAAAATTAAACTTTGGGTAGTTACAAAATCAGGGGAGAGATAGCATTCCCTACTAAACATAAGCCCCCAACTTCGCAAAAAGATAGAAAGCTGCATGATGTTCCATTAATTGTGTGTGTGTGTGTGTGTGTTTAAACCAAGGTCTTACTCTGTCCCCTGGACTAGTGTGCAGTGGTGTCATAATAGCTCACTGCAACCTTAAACTCCTGGGCTTGCGTGATCCTCCCACCTCAGCCTCTCAAGTAGCTGGGACTACAGGCTGCATCTCACCCAGCTAATTTTTCTATTTTTAGTAGAGATGGGGTCTCACTCTTGCTCAGGCTGGTGTTCAAATCCTGAGCTCAGGGATTCTCCCTCTTAGGCCTCCCAGAGAGCTAAGATTACAGGGGTGAGCTGCTGTGCCCAGCTGCAGGCCACTATTTCTGACACTCATATACAGGCAGAGGTAGTAGAATAGTAGGGTTAAGTGGATTGCAACATTTTAGGTGGAGATTAGAAGGAGACAGGGGAAGAATTTCATAAGATGTTAAGTCTACTTACTGAAAAATGCCAAGTGTGATGGGAAGTTAATAGACTTTCCTCTGTAAGTGGGACTAGCAAATTAAGTTCATTTCCTAAAACCGGCTCAGATGGAGCTTCCACCAACTTGGCTGCTGCTGCTACTGCTTTTAAACAATTAGAATATGCTGGAGCTAACTGCAGGCTATAATATACACCAGGCCTATGTTTTTCCCCATGTTTTGGGGTAAGAACTCCTAATGCTGGATTGTTATGCATTCATGAATGAACAAGGTGAAAGGTTTAGTGTAATTGGGAAGTCACAAAGCTGGAGGCTGTTGTAAGGCCAATTTCATGGTTAAAAGCCTGCTCAAGACTGTTTTCCCAAGGTAAAGGCTCTGAAACTGCGTTCTGGTGAGTTCACACAAGGGTGAAGCCTTTAAAGAAAAATTTAGGACCCAGGATGTACAATCCTGAAAATCTAAGAAAGCCTCTTAATTGTCTTTCAGTTTTGGGTTGAGGAAAACTTTGACTAGTTTATATTCTCTTGGGTATGAGCAAAATCCCTTCAGCAGTCAAGTCATGTCCCAAATAGTGGACACGATTTTTTCTCTTGAAAACTGAAGTTTCTCCATCCAAGTCTTGTGACTTTTATGTGGCAGTTGCTGTAAAAGGTAAACTGAGCCATTTTAGAACATTCTAGCAGGGGCATCCATCCTGGGCTCTGAGGGCCACATGTAGATTATTTGAGGTTGGTTTTGCTTATCTGTGGTGCCAGATACTCAAAAGGCAAGCATGTACCTCCTTCTTCTTTTTTTGCTTATCAGCCTCCCTTAGTGACTTTGTTTTTAGTGTGTGGCTCCAAGACAACTTTTATTTTTCCGACATGTGGCAGACAAGTAAAAAGGTTGGACATCCTTGCTCAGCGGGAGGGCATAATAGGTCATCCGTTGGTGACCTAATAATAAGAGGAATAAGGAGAATGTCTCTGGGCACAGAGGCTCACATCTGTAATCCTAGCACTGGGAGGCCAAGGTAGGTGGATAGCTTGAGCTCAGGAGTTTGAGACCAGCCTGAGCAACAGTGAGACCCTGTCTCTGCTAAAAATAGAAAAGCTAGCTGGGCATCGTGGCAGGTGCCTGTAGTCCCAGTTACTCAGGAGGCTAAGGCAGCAGGATCACTAGAACCCCAAGAGTTTGAGGTTGCTGTGAGGTATGATGACATCATGGCATTAAAGCCAGAATGACAGAGTGAGACTCTGTCTCAAAAAAGAAAAAAAAAAAAGAGAGTAGAATTTAGAGGGAACTTTAGGCTAAATCCTGATGTAACGATGGGAAAAATACAAAGGCGCTGCAGTAATAAACCCTTGTCCCATTACAGTCCAGGTATCCTGCTGATTTTTCTAAGTAAAAGCGAACAAATAACTGACCCTCTTTCTGAACTAGAATTCTAAAGAAGGCTGAGCTGTGAACCACTTTGAATCAGCAGGTACGTTAGATAATAAAGTTTTAAGGATTCGGGACCACGGGAAATCTTGGTATTGCAATTCCACTAATTGCCTGTAAATCTTGAACGAGTCTTTTTAGTGATGGGATTGGAGCGTTTCTAGGACTAGAAACAGACTAGTTCACAGAATTATTAAGTCCTTGTATAATTAAATCTTCCACAATTGGCAAGGGGCCTTGAATTGCTTCGGGTTTTAGTGGATATTGGGATAATATAGGCAAAGGTGTAGAATGATCTAATTTGGACTTTTATAGACTCCACACTTTTAATCCTTCCTAGAGCACTTGAGGAGAGGCTCATAAACACTCAGATATTTCAGAAACGTCAGGGGTGTGACGGGCCTTAGTTTCCATCTTACCAATTTCTACCTTGTAGAGAGCTTAACAGTTCTGGTTCAGGGGAGTCAGGAAACTCAGAGACTGTTTGAGTTTCTGTCCCAGAGGAGAATTTTATATGTCCTTTCATCTTTGAAAGTGGGTCTTACCCTAGCAAATTTCCTGGAGCAGTATCACATGGTAAAAGACCATGTTTTTCTGAAAACGACAGAGTCATTTGGTTCAGATAGGAAAACCTCTTGAACTTAATTAAAACTCTCACCACAGAAGCAACCTTTTTACTCCAGGGGATTTGTTGGCTTATGAAAGTGATGTTTATGGTAGATAAGGTGGTGCTGATAATGGGATTGTACAAGATTCCCCACTTTTTTTAACTCTTTTTCTCCATGTTGAAGAGGGTCTTTTTTTTGAGACGGAGTCTCACTTTGTCGCTCTCCATAGAGTGCTGTAGTGTCATAGCTCACAGCAACCTCAAACTCTTGGGCTCAAGTGATTCTCTTGCCTCAGCCTCATGAGTAGCTGGGACTACAGGCGCCTGACACAATGCTTGGCTGTTTTTAGAGATGGGTCCTGCTCTGGCTCAGGCTGGTCTCCAACCTGTGAGCTCAGGCAATCCACCCGCCTCAACCTCCTAGAGTGCTGGGATTACAGGCGTGAGCCACCTTGCCCAGCTGAAATTAGAGTGTCTTTTTTTTTTGGAGGCAGAGCCTCAAGCTGTCCCCCTGGGTAGAGTGCT